CATATCGGATATCGGCCAAAATCCCAATATTGTGCATCCCTAGTTATGACTCATATTTAAAATACTAAATCTCTAGCATGGCTCTAATACTCCGTCATACAAGTTTAACATATTTTGCATCATTTAGAGAGATGAACTGGTGGCAGCTCCATCCTAGCCGCTGACTGTCATTACGAGCGGCGAACAGAGCTTCCATATCAAACAGAAAATATCTCAATAGGCTAAATAACAACATGAGGTCAGAGAGCAGGATGCTCACCTTATTCCATTGTTTGCAGACCAAGCAGCAGGTGAGCAGGGTCTGAGGATCCAGCCACCGCAAAAGGTAGAAAGCCAGCTCCAGAGGAAGGAGGCGCAGGAAATCCCGCTTCAGGAGCGTCTCCAGACCGTTGGATAGATGCCGAAGCTGGGCGGCGCCGCTCAGAGATATGAGCTGATCCAGACACTGGTTACGCTGCTGGTCATTGAGAGAAAGGAAAGTGGCAGAGACAGACTCCAGCCACCCCTCAAACGCCGTTTTGTCCATGGGCACATGACCAGCAACACCTGCAAGAGCATGGCAGCGGGTTTTAAATGTTCCAAAGTAAGCCGTTCATCAAAGTGTCTGCTAATATCAAACATAATCCAATTTATTTTGCTAAAATGAAAAGACATTGGAAGACGTTTGTGATTTTCCTCAAATTGAAACCACACAAGAATTTTTAAACTTGACGGCTCATCTAACGAGCGGAGCAGCTTTTTGGATTAAATCTCCAGAATATCACACATAGAGCCCTTTAAAAATGTCCCAACATTTCTCTAACATCATCCCACTACAACCACACTTACTCTTCATATCTTGCAGGCTTGAACTATTTCATTTATGGAAATATTACTGACAGAATATACTTCCTTTGAATTAAGATGCATTTTAATCCAATTTTAAAAGTTCTCCTTTATCAAACTTTCATTAACTATTGTTAACCTCATCTGAGCTCTACTTTTTTTCCCTCGAGTTTTAATCAGAATAGTTCATTTAAAAATCAAATCTAATATTTGCCAGTGGATTTTAAACCATAACTGCTGTGATAAAATCAAAGATTAATAATTAACAATCCAAGTTTCAAGTCTCCGGGTGAAAACACACAGAAAATAAAAATAAAACACAAATGTTTTGGGAAGCTAAGCTCTTGATAAAAAATATTTAAGGAACAATAGTGTAAACACAACGACAGGAGAAAGGTCAGGGATAAAGTGAGATTATAAAGCCGACTGAAGTTACAGAACATCCAGAACCTAAATGAGAGTAGGTGCTAACTATCTAACCTAAATGTTTTTGGGGTTTTTTCTTGCTTAGAGGCAAAGTACCGTGTCTGGAGGAAAATGAACGCTTGCGCATCACCCAGAATATAACAGTNTAACCTAAATGTTTTTGGGGTTTTTTCTTGCTTAGAGGCAAAGTACCGTGTCTGGAGGAAAATGAACGCTTGCGCATCACCCAGAATATAACAGTCATTTTAGTGGTGATGCTTAGTTAAGCAGCGACAGGATAGGAGCTGATGCTACGTTCAGACCGCCAGCAGCAGAGGCAGCGGAAACAGCTAGCTTACATGCAAAGTCAATGGTTGACGCACATCAAGGCGCAGCAAAAGGTCCTGCGGCGCGTCTGAGCAGCCAAAGCGACGCCTCATGGGCTTCTGATGGGCTTCAGAAGCAGCAGCTGCTAGAGTTGAAAAAAAATTTAACTTTTGCTTCTTGACGAGCCACAGCGACCAATCAGAGAAGCCGATCTGGGAGCTGGCAGGGAGTCAGACACAGCAGAACGCTATGATCACTCCTCTGAAACTGTTTATTAACACCTAAATTAACTTCAAATCTAACTTAAATGTGTTTTATCTGCTGGCAAAATAATTCCAGGGGTTGACGTTAAGGATTTTAACCACTTGCCCTTTGGGCAAGTAACTTTCACATTTTATTTGCCCAGAAACAATTTTTACTTGCCCAGTATAATGTTTGATAAATATAGTTCCTAATATTCATTTTTGTATATATATCAATGAGACATGTTGATTGATAATTTTTAATCTAGGGTTATCTGGGTGGTGGGTGAAATTACTACTTACTACTACTTACATTTTTTTTGCCTTGTGGTTGTGTTTTAGCCTGCTAAGTAAAAAAAAATGTGTCTGATTCACGCCAATTCCCGGACAAAAATCACGCCATCTGTCAGAAAATCAAGCAGCTTTTTCAAATCACGCGAAAATGTGTACAAAGCAACAAAAATGGTGGCAGCAACGCTTCTGTTTTCATCGAATCTCTGTGATTTAAAGTAATTATAGTGAGTGATAAATATTTTTTTTTTTGCGATTTGTACTCTCCCAACAATAAAAACTATTTGCCCCGGGAGATTGGGCGATGGTTAACATCGTGCCGTGATGTCTTATTTGATTTTTCTGGTGCCTGCCGTTTAGATTACATACGTGAAAAAAGCCTTCCAGCCGCTGCAACAGTAGCGGAAAACCGCAAAGAGGCGACCGGGCCAGAGGCTGCTGTTGAAGGGGATTCCCAGTGACAGCGCACCGACGGTTTACGGGGGTCGGAGCGGCTCAGACAGCAAAATAATATGGAGGAGGTTTTCAGAAGTATTTTCTCACTTTAAAACATATTCAAACTACTTTTTACCCACTGATCACAGCAAATATAGCCGCCATTGTTACAGGCAAAGAAAGGATAGGTTAGCTCCGCCCAACGCGCATCAGACCCGCTTATCGATCGCGCAGCTGGAGCAGCAAAGATGCTTCAGCTGCGCAACAGAACTAAACCTGTACAATCAATCAGTTTCTTCAACTACAATTTACATTGTAATTGAGATTTCAGTTTCAGTATTTCCTGAGGCCATGCGTGCCGCAGAACGTTGCCTTTGGTGCGCCCTTATGGCTGCCAATGTGAGAAGGTTCCCTATAGGGCTGCCTTTAGCANAATGTTTTTGGGGTTTTTTCTTGCTTAGAGGCAAAGTACCGTGTCTGGAGGAAAATGAACGCTTGCGCATCACCCAGAATATAACAGTTATTTTAGTGGTGATGCTTAGTTCAGCAGGGACAGGACAGGAGCTGATGCTACATTCAGACCGCCAGCAGCAGAGGCAGCGGAAACAGCTAGCTTACATGCAAAGTCGACGGTTGACGCGCATCAAGGTGCAGCAAAAGGTCCTGCGGCGCGTCTGAGCAGCCGAAGCGGCGCCTCATGAGCTTCTGATGGGCTTCAGAAGCAGCAGCTGCTAGAGTTGAAAAAAAATTGAACTTTTGCTTCTCGACGAGCCACAGCGACCAATCAGAGAAGCCGATCTGGGAGCTGGCAGGGAGTCAGACACAGCGCTGCTGATGCAGAGCGCTATGATCACTCCTCTGAAACAGTTTATTAACACCTAAATTAACTTCAAATGTAACTTAAATGTGTTTTATCTGCTGGCAAAATATGTCTGATTTGATTATTCTGGTGCTGCAGTTTAGATTACATACGTAAAAAACACCTTCCAGACACTACAACAGTAGCGGAAAACCACGAAGAGGCGACCGGGATTCCCAGTGACAGCGCACCGCCGGTGTACGGGGGTCTGAGCGGTTCAGACAGCAACATTTTTCAGATAAACTTTCTTACTTTAAAACATATTCAAACTACTTTTTACCCACTGATCACAGCAAATATAGCCGCCATTGTTACAGGCAGAGAAAGGACAGGTTAGCTCCGCCCAACGCGCATCAGACCCCACTTATCGATCGCGCAGCTGGAGCAGCAAAGATGCTTCAGCTGCGTAACAGAACTAAACCTGTACAATCAATCAGTTTCGTCAACTACAATTTACATTGTAATCCAGATTTCAGTTTCTGTATTTCCTGAGGCCATGCGTGCCGCAGAACGCTGCCTTTGGTGCGCCCTTATGGCTGCCAATGTGAGANGGTTCCCTATAGGGCTGCCTTTAGCATCAAAAATGAAGCCGCTATGCGTTTTTGCTGCTCCTGCTGCTTGTGGTCTGAACGTAGCATTAGAGTTAATACAGGAGATGGAAAGAGCTAAATACTGGAAGAGAACCGCTCTCCTTTTATTAGGACATCCAGAGTAAAACCTGAGCTACATGGTAAAGATCCCAGCATATTCACCAGCTATAATGGTCCAGTCAACAATCCCAAAATCTGGAGCAAACATTTGTATTGAAATTCTAAAATATAAATCCTTTTGTAATCAATTATTGAAAAATAAAATGGTAAAATATTTTAGCTTTTTGATGTGCAAATCTGACATACAAAAAAAACATTAAAAAAAACATTTTGCAGCTAAAGGCAGAGAGGTGGGTCACATGGGGGCTAATTACAAACACCCCACACCCTTCTTCATTTCTTATTTATAAGACAAATACAAAACCATGCCTAATTCCTACTGCTACACAATTAAGCTTCATTTTATCTAGCACTATAGACTAGTAACATGTGATTAGCTGTCATGCATGGTGGAGGTGGCATCATCATTATGTTTTGGGGGAATTCTGCCAGTTTTGTGGAAAATAATGAACAAAGGGAATATTATATTAAATAAATTATGCATTTGTGTATACTCCTAATTCTGCCAAAAACAAATAAAGAGAGAATGAAGGAC